ATTAATTTTATATAAATAAAATCATATCATTTCCAACTTTTAAATAAAAAAAACAAAACTAAAATTAATACACTCATGATCGAGTAATAAACCTTTTTTTTTGGCCAATTATTTTTGTAACACACTGTATATATTTATTTATATTATATTTATTTAACAACAAAAAATTACAAATTTTTTTTATAATATATATAATGTCTATAGTACTAAAGCTTCTTTATATACAATATTATTTGTATAAGTCCCATCTTTGCCTTGCACTGTCCCATTTTTCACATATACCTTGAGATTACTTTCTTTACATACCCTTGACATGGCTACGTACAATTGTCCATGAGTAAAGACAGGTTGTGGTAGGTATAGACCAATATGAGACAGTGTTTGGCCTTGGGATTTGTTTTATTGTCAAGGCAAATGCTGGTCGTACAGGAAATTGTTTTCTTTTTAATACAAAGGGTAACCCAGCATTCTCAGTGGACATTAGGGTAATTCTTGGGATGAATACATGTCTGCCTTTATGATCCCCAGTGATTATTTCAGCTTCAATTGTTCTTGTTTGGAGTTGCTTACAGATAAGCCTAGTCCCATTACAGAGTCCATTGACAGGATCTAGGTTTCTAAGTAACATGATTGAAACATTGGTTTTTAGAGTGAGCTCATGTGGAGGAAGACCTTGTGGTGTTATTGAATTGAGATATTCAATTGGATATAGATTCTGGTCATCTTCTGGCACTGATTCCATCAGGAAAATGGGTACAAATATTATGCGTATATAATACACAATTGCAGGGATTAAGCATATAATATGCATACAAATCGCGTATTTTTTTATGTATGCAAATTGTACATATATTATATGCTTAATCCCTGCAATTGCATATTATATACGCATAATATTTGTACCCATTTTCCTGATGTTGAAGCTATAATATATACACTTCTCTCCAGGATATTTGGCCATGATTCTCTCATTGATTACATCAACATCATTGTTCAATGGGGTCAGTATTGCTCTTTCTGTTGTTAAAAAGGTGATGTTTGCAGAATTTTCAGTGAGGTTAGGGTAAATGGTGTCTATTAATAAATTAATGGGATCCTTGCCATTCTGTGGGTGAATGATCATCTTATCAGGAAGTTGAATTAGGTTGTTTCCTATTGTAGGTTCAGTACCATTACCTATCCTCAAAAGGTATTCTGCAAATTTTTTGCTTCATAATCTGTAGTTTGGGCAACTCGCATGTTAATGGTCAATGAGAAGACATGTGCATGGTGCCATAAATGGGACTTGTTGAGAGCAGCATTAACAATTTGAGTTCTTGTGCCTTTATGAACTACAGGAAGAACTTGTTGAAAGTCACCTCCAAACAAAAATATTTTACCACCAAATGGAAGTTCATTCTCCATAATGTCTCTTAATGTTCTGTCAACAGCTTCAGGAACATGACAATGTGTCATTGGGGCTTCATCCCAGATGATCAGGGTAGTTTCTTGTAGCAATCTGGCTAACTCGGTCCCTTTTTTTGATATTACAGGTTGCATTTTTATCCATTGTGGCAATTGGTATTTTGAATTGAGAATGTGCAGTGCGTTCACCATGTAATAGTAATGCAGCAATGCTGAAAGAGGCTACTGACAATGCAATCTTACGATTGATTCTTACATGGGCAAGAAGACAATCATAAAGATAGGTTTTTCCACTTCCAGTAGGACCATCCACAAACAGTACACCTCCTTCACCTTGGTTTATAAGGTTTAACACCTCATCAAATATTGCACGCTGAGCTTCATTTAATGTATCTGCTTTTCTAAGATCTTCTGTAGTAACATGATAGGATAATTCTTCCAGAAGTATTTTTGGCAATTCCCAAACATTGTTTTCTAAAAATAATTCTAGTAGATTGTAGTCAGCTACGGTTTTTGAATGTCTTTGCAGAAATGCATTCAAGCTTTGAAGAACTGCTTGAATTTAGCATAATGGACACTGTAAAACAAGCCATTTTATTGGCCAAATTTTGTCGATCTTATTTCAAATCATCACACAAAAC